AGGGTTTGCAGGTCTTGATGAGGTTGAAGAAATGCTTGTATGTGATACTGTGGTAAGGAGGCTAAAGTCAGATTTGAAATCTTTGCAATTGTATTTTCTGAGATACTGCAATTACTGGTGAGAGCAAGTCCAGGGTAAGGCCAGTGGGAGTGGGTATCTGAAGACAGGAGGACAAAAATCCCATTGGTAGGGAAGAAATGAATAAGGGAGAGGTCAGTAAGATTTCTGATGGATTATGCTTATGGATGCTGAAGTCATAAAGTGCAGGAGGTGAGATGGAAGTAAGTTCATGAGAGCAAAAAAGAGGGATGGCAGGTGGAAAAACATGACAGTAAGAACTTGAAGGGAATTGGGTCTTTGAAAGAACTTGAAGGGAGGAGAAACAGTACTAAAAATATTCATGGTGTTTGCCTGCTTACCCATAGATCCTTGTAGGCAGTCATGTTTAATGCCACATGCCCCCTTGCTCATAGCAATATTTGACTTCAAGGGGTGATCTCTGACCTATGGGCAGCCAATCTGTGGACTGGCCACTGACCTGTTCAATGAGCTGTCACTGGTATAAGATGAGTTAATTGCATTCTATCTTGGGGTCTGAATTATGAAACAAAAAGAATTTGCCAGTTGCCCTAGCCAGTTTTGCTCAGTGGTTAGGGCATCGGCCTCCAGTCCAGAGAGACCTGGGTTCAGTTCACGCTAAGGGCACGTACCTCGGTTGCAGTTTGTCCCCGGCCCTGGTTGGGTTGTGCGGGTGGCAGCTACTCGATGTGTCCCTTTCACGTCATGTTTCTCTTTCTCTCTCTCCCTCCCACTCTATCTGAACAAAAAATGAAAAAAATGTCCTCAGGTGAGGATAAAAAAAGAAAAAGAATTTGCCAGTTAACAGAGCAAGCTGATGCAGAGAATAAAGGAGGACAAAGGTCACCTGGATGGACCTCATGTAGGCTGAAATGTTAAGGGAAGAGGGCTGTAAGCTGAGGATGCCAGACAGTAAAGGAAGAATGTATCAGATGCATCAGAAGAAGCAAAAATGAGGCCTGGTGAGAGAGGCGGAGTAGGACGTCCCTGAGTTCTGGGTTGGTTCCTGAGCCCTCTTATTACGAGGTAACAACTTTCAAAGGTTTTTAAACAAAGAAGCAACATAATCAGACCTGGGGTTATGAGCGTGGGCTCTGGTCCCAGACTGCCTGACTTTGAAATCATTAGCTCTGTGATCTTGGGCAAGTTACTTAACCTTTCTGTACCTCAGTTCCTTCATCTGTACAGTGGGAATGATAGCACTGCCCTCAGTGTTGTAGAGAGATTAAGTGAGAAAATACAGGTAATGCATTTTGAACAAAGCTTCCTTTCAATCTTATTTCCTTCAAGTAAACAGTTTAAGTGTGGCTTCTTTCACTAAACTTCCCCTTGTGCCCTTATTTATCCCTTGGCTTCCAGGAGGGATACCACCTTCTCTTGGCCCTCTTGGTTCTCCTTCTCAGTTGCCATGCTGGTTCTTCTTCTTTTTTAAAATCCTCACCCAAGGATATTTTTCCATTTATCTTTAGATAGAGTAGGAGTGAGGGGGAGAGAGAGACAGAGAGAGAAACATCGACATGAGAGAGACACATCGACTGGTTGCCACCTGCACTGACCCCAATTGTGGCCTTGGACAAACCGCAACTGAAGTATGTGCCCTTGACCTGAATCAAACCCACAGCTCTTTGGTCCATGGGCCGATGCTCTAACCACTGAGCCAAACCGGCCAGGGCTCCTCTTTATCTTTTTTACCTCTTCTCTCTACATTCACCTCCTCAGTGAGCTCACCTAGTTGTCTTGTGCTCTTAAAATATCATTTATAAAATATCATTTATTAGCTGACCATTCTCATAAGCTTATCATCAACTCCAACTTCTTCCCCCAACTCCAGACTTCCGTGTCTGATTACTTATTTGGCATCTACATTTAAATCTCCAATAGAGATTTGGTGTGGCTTAGTGGTTGAGAGTTGACCCATGCACCAAGAGGTTGCCAGTTTGATTTCCAGTCAGGGCACATGCCCAGGTTGTGGGCCAAATCCCCAGTGGGGGATGTGCAGGAGGCCGCCAATCAATGTTCTGTTTCATCGATGTTTCCATCTCTCTCTCTCTCCCCCTTCCTCTCTCTCTAAAATCAATAAAGAAAAAAAAATTTCAATCTTCAATAGGGCCTGGACAGTGTGGCTCAGTGGCTGAACATCGACCCATGCACCAAGAGGTTGGCAGTCTGATTTCCAGTCAGGGCACAAGACCAAATTGTGGGCCTGATCCCCAGTGGGGGGCATGCAAGAGGCAGCCAATTGATTCTCTCTCTCATTGATGTTTCTCTCTCCCTCTCCCTTCCTTTCTCTCTAAAAATCAATAAAGAAGAGCCCTGGCCAGTTTGGTTCAGCAGTTAGAGCATCGGCCTGCGGTCCCGAGAGACGCAGGTTCAGTTCTCGCTAAGGGCGCGTACCTCGGTTGCAGTTTGTCCCCGGCCCTGGTCGGTTGTGCGGGTGGCAGCCACTCGATGTGTTCCTTTCACATCGATGTTTCTCTCTCTCTCTCTGTTCCTCTCTCTCCCTCCCACTCTACCTGAACAAAAAATGGAAAAATGTCCTCAGGTGAGGATAAAAAAAATCAATAAAGAAGAAAAATAAATAAATCTCCCACGGGCAATTTCAAACATAATTTCCCCCAAATGAACTCTTATGCCTGCCCCTGGCCCCCAAAGGAAAAAAAAATCCTCCTATAATTTTCCACAGGTCAATAAATGGCAAATCTTTCAATATTGATCAAGCTAAAAATCTTTTTTTTTTAATTAATTTATTTTTGTTACAGATGTTTCTCCTTTTCCCTCCATTGACACCCTTCTCCCCATGCCCCCCACCCCGCAAGCTAAAAATCTTAGCATCATCCTTGACTCCTTTCTTTTTCTCATGCCCACCAATCTATCAGCAAAAATCCAGAATGTGATCTCTCCTTGCCACCTCTATGTTATTGGCCTGATGGAAGACTCTTCACCCTGGCCGGTTTGGCTCAGCGGTTAGGGCGTCGGCCTGCGGTCCTGAGAGACCAGGGTTCGGTTCCCGCTAAGGGCATGTACCTCGGTTGCAGTTTGTCCCTGGCCCTGGTTGGGTCGTGTGGGTGGCGACCACTCGACGTGTCCCTTTCACGTCGATGTTTCTCTCTCTCTCTCCCCCTCCCACACTCTATCTGAACAAAAAATAGAAAAAATGTCCTTGGTGAGGATGGGAAAAAAAAAAAAAAAGAACCTTCATCTCTCTTCTGTGTGACCTTGGGTGCCTCTTTAGGTCTCTGTTATAAGAATTAAATGAGTTATTATTTGTAAAGTGGTCAACAGTGTCTTTCACAGAGGAAGCCCCATGTAAGTGAGTGCTTTTTAAATACATAAATGCCTTGAATACAGAACTAGCTTTCTAACAGCCCTAGTCCCCCTACAGTCCATTCAGAACACAGCAGCCTTCTGATCCCTTTAAAAGCCTAGACCAGACAGATCCTGTTATTTACTGCTCTGCATCTCTCTGACCTGGCTCCCACCACTCTTCCCTTGCCCAGTGTAGGGCAGCCACCTTGGCCTCCTTGTTCCATGAACACACCAGGGACTGTCCCCATTGGGTCTTCGCCCTTGCTTGTGCCTCCTTCTGATTAAATGTTAGTAAGTTAGGCCTCTCCTGGTCTCATTTTGCTAACCGACCTGCCTATTCCCTCACTCTGATTTTCCTCCACATCTGGTCACCACCTGACACACTCTATCTACTACTTAGTGGCTGATTGTCTCCCCTCCAACGTTCAAGATATGCAACAACATGGACTGTCTTGTTCATTGCTTTATCCTTACAGCCTTGTGCTTGTACACAGTGGGTGCTCAATAAAAATGTACCAAGTGAAAAGAATCCCTAAATGCCACTTTGAGTTGGGCGGGGGTATTGTTGCTAGGATATGGCTTGGCTTCTGGTAATAATTCCTGTCATTTATGCAACACTACAGTTTACAATACCCTCTTAGGTGACCTGATTTGATTCTCACTAAAGAGAGTAAGCATGCTAGGGAGGGCAGAGCTAGGATCCCAGGTCTCTGGCCTTCTAGAACAAGCTCAACAAATATTTATTGAATGAAGAGGGATAAAGAAAAAATTTCTGCGTCCTTCTATGGAGTGAGGCAGCCCCACTGGACAAATGGACTGGTTCTCTGTAGCAAATGTAAAAATACAACACAATATTTGTTGAACCCCTAATTTTCTAATCACTAGCTGTGTCGTCCTCACAGCTATTCTGTAGAAGGTAGCTAAGACCTCTTCATGTCTCGTTCAACTGTTATCTCTTGGTGCCTCAAACAAGGCCTGGTATAGAGTAAGTGCTGGATAAGCAGTGTGGCCCAAGGCTCTCTTTTAAGAGCTCGGGCTCAGGTGCAGCGACTCGCGCCAGGTCCCACACGTAGCAGCGCTGGGATTCCATTTCAGGTTCGCTCACTACGCTCTCCAGGATGGGCTGGGCCCGTGGGCCACACCAGTTCCGGGTCCGCCGCGGGAGAGAGCGCGTGCACCGGGTGGGGCGGGGAGGGACTGACCCCTCCCAGCCTCAACGCCTTCCGCATCCCCGCCCGGGAGGCCCGCGGGCACGGTTCCTCTGCCGCTACCCGCTTCTGCAGCCCCAGCGCGGATGGTCGGGTCTGGGTGCCGGCGTAAATCCTCTCCCGGTGTCAGCCCAGTGCCAGCCCGACCGCCACGCGGGGTCTGGCCCGCTGGCCCGCCCACCCCGCCAGCCGCCGCGCCCCGTCCCGCCCGCAGGCCCCGCCCCTCGCTTCCCTGATCGGCGCTCCTCCCCCCCCGCGCCGCGCTCCATACTTGGCGATCGCCGCGGCCCTGCGCGCTCATTGGCCGAGAGCCGGCTGCGTGGGGGGCGGGCCCGGGCCCGGCCGGGGCGGGGAAGGATGGTGGCGGCGGCCCGGCGCGGGGGGAGGGGGGCGCTGACCCGGATGTTCACTCCTGGGCACCCGGGGAAGTGGAAGCGCCGGGCCCTGCTGCTGGGGGGAGAGCCAGAGACGCCGGGACCGGGACCGCCGCCGACGCCGCCACCATGGTAAAAGCCCGACGTCACCCTCCCGCAGCCCCCGGGACCTCTGCTGGAGCTCACGTCCCCCTCTTTCCGCCGACCCCCGGCCGGTGAAGGGTGGGTTCCCCCGGGTGGGGGAGGGGCGGGGTCCGGGACCTCAGGTAGAGACCATTCCTGTGGGCTCAGGAGGGGGTCGCCGGCCCGGGCCGCTGGGGTGGGCAGCGACCCTGCCATCCCCTCTCAGTCCCCGCCCTTGGCTCAAGCTGGAGTCCCATTCTCCACCCCGGGGTCCAGGCTAGTCTCCATAGCCCAGGCTAGACCCTCCTGGACCCGTGGGCCAGGCACTCCCTCCGGTGACCCAGGTGTGGCCTCCCGTCCTCCCCATGGCTTGGGCTAGGTCCCCTTTCCTCGTCCCTGCGGCCCAGGCCAGGCCGTCATTTCTTTCTCCCATGGCCCAGGCTAGGCCTCTGTCGCCATCCTCCATGGCCTCAGTCCGGACCCCCGTCAACTCCTCCAGTGGCTTCAGCCTAGATTTGTTTCTTCTGCTCCTTGGCTTCAGCCTGAATCTTCTCTTCCCTCCTGGTCATTAGTCAGGACCTCCCCCTCCTCGGACCATGCCTCCGCCTGGACATCACCCCACCTCACCCCCATGAGCCCCTTCCCTGGACTTCTCACCACTCTTCAGAGTAGTCCGTCTGCCCAGTCCTTTTCTGTCCTGGGCTTTACCCTCCCTCCAGGGCCCTGCTCCCTGCCCTGCCCCCAACTCAGGTGGTCTCCTCCCCTCCCCTTCTTTGCCGTCCTGGAAAGTAAGGGGAGCTCTCCAGCCCGGAGTCGGGGAGTAGGGTGGTCCCGGGGTTGTACCGTCTCAGGTTTGAGGGTTGCCCCTTCTGCGGAGGCCGTCTGGGAGCGAGCGAGGGAAAGGAGGGCATCTGTGGCCGGAAGGCAGTGCGGTGCTCTGTGGACCCTTCCGCGGGCGCGGTGCTTGCCAGAGCGTCCTGCTGGTGGTGGGGACTGAGTGAGAGCACAGGGATGAGGGTGGGGTAGCCGACAGGACAGGGATGAACGCACAATCGCCCTTGTGAGGTCGCAGCCCTTGGGGGAGCCAGCCGACCCCAAGGCCAACATACGGCCTGGACACGATGCACCCCAGCAGGCGTAGCCTCCCTTTCCCCCTGAACTGTCAGCTCGTGAGGGTTGGAACTGCTGATTATGGAGGTGTTTTGGATCAGGTGAGCCAGTCTCGCAGGGAGAAGCTAGCTCCCCTCGTGGTGTTTGTTTTGGTAATGAAGGCAGGTGCTCTGGGCGCTCTGGCTGGCCTGAGGTTTCACATAGGCCCGCACATGTGAGCCTTCTCTCTCCTGTCCACTTTGGAACCTTGTGCAGAGCAGGCCCAGCACCTAGGTTGGAAGGGCTGGAGGGCTTCTGCCTCACATGGCCAAGGAACCTTTGAAGAGTGAACCTGACAGAGCTCTGGCTGGCCACCTGCTCCTCCCACCCAGCCTGGGCAGATATTTGCATGTGGACTTTGGGCCCGAAGAGTTTTGAGGATCTTGGTTCCTTGTTTAATTAAGAGATGTTGCCGATGAACTAGGGTGACTAATTCAGACTGTCCAAGTTTTTTCTTGATGCCTTGTTGAATATTAAATAACTTGGCCGATGCTGTTTTTCATGCTATTGGGCGGACTTGTTTCTCTTCATTGGTTGAGAATTGGCTGCAGGGGGTGGTGGCCCAGCCCTAGGCCTGGGTGGAGAAAGACATTTATACACAGATTTGGGTGAGGACTTTAAAAGTGGAGTGAGGTTTTGTAAATTTGTTCTTAGGGCAAAACCATGGGAGAGTTGGTGGGGTTGCCAGGTGGGGCTACTCAAGGCAAGTAGCTGAGTGGGAGGGACTTCTTGCTTTAGCCCTGGGTGCCTGATTTTCCAAATGTCATGGAGAAATGCCCTTAAATGACCTAGGAGGCTTCTCCTGAGGCCTGTGTTGGGTCTTACTTGGACAGTCTGAAAGGACTATGGAAGGGGTGGAGGAAAAGAGCTACCATTTCTTGAGGGGCTGTGAGCTTGGCCTATATGAGCTCATTGAATCCATACAAAGCCCTTTGAGGAATTGCTGTTTCCATTTTACAGGTGAAGAAGCCGAGACTCAGAGGGTTGAATAACTTAATCAAGGTGTTGCACCTTTAGTGGAAACACACTGGCAAGACCCTAAACTTGGTCCTTCCCATTGTCCCACGCTGCTTAAGTGTGGGAAGATATAAAGAACACTGTTTAGCCCTGGCCGGTTTGGCTCAGCGGTTAGAGTGTTGGCCCGCAGACCAGAGAGGCCTGGTTTGGTTCCGCTAGGGCACATACCTCCGTGCAGTTTGTCCCCGGCTCTGGTTGGGGTCCTGTGGGTGGCAACCACTTGATGTGTCTTTCTTACGATGTCTGTCTGTTTCTCTCTCCCTCCCCCTCTCCCCCTCCCTCCCTCTCTCCCTCAAGATAAATGCAAAAAATGTCCTCCGGTGAGGATAAAAAAAAAAGAACACTGTTTAGAAAACATAATAATGGGGTACTCAGAGATGCAAGGGAGGAGCAGCATTTACCATCCTCTGCTCTACCAACTGAGCTATTGAGGGAAGTGCAGGAACATTTATTGACTATGGATTGTGTGCTGGGTCCTTGACATAGGAGACCTCATTTAATAGTGAAGTATGGTGATGCAGGCATAGTTAGCCTGGACCAGAATGGGAGCTCTTTGAGGGATTTTTGTCTTGTACTTTCCATGGTACTATCCCTGGGGCCTAGAAGAGCACCTGGCATTGAAGCAAGTGGCTTGGATGGAGTGCTTTTTTGAGGTTGCATGAACTTAGTCTCTTGGAGTTCATACTTATTCTCTCAATAACTTGTTCTTAGTATCCCCTGGGTTGATAAGTAATTTCTGACTGCTTATAGTCAAATTTATCCCCTACCAGAACACTCTGACTAATAAACTGTGTAGACCGTTGGGGTAGGCCAGACGTGGTGGTGTGGGGTTGCAGCGTAGGTAAATGAATTAAGAACACTGGTTTTTATTTTCATTAGGTTCGATGGTAGAAAAAACAGCTAGATCTCAGTTATCCTTGAAGGGAAATAGCAATTTGAGAATCTAAAATGCATTAGACTTTGGAGTAAATTTCATGATTTTTGTTGGCATCAGTTGAGAATGCATAGGCAAATGGAATTTATATGCATTTCCTTAGCAGATAATAATCTTCCCACTGTCTGTGCTTTACAGTTTAAAGCATTTTTTCTTATGCAACTCTAGCGTCTAAGGAATTATTATTCTAACTTAGAGTTATGATTCTGGTGCTGGTGGTGGGACTGTTTAGGGGACAGGTGAGGCCCCCTCATGAGTTGGCTCTCCAACTAACAGATGGTTTTGTCTGACAGGAGCTGATAGGTGATGCCTGTCATACTGTTACAAGGTGAAACAATATAGTTAACACTAATGTGTCTTGGCTGGTCTCCTAGTGTGGGTGTGATACATGGCTCAGCTCCGATCCCTCATGTATATACCACCCTGTTCATTTAAATCCAACTAGCCTCTTTGGTGGAATGCTTGAGAAAGTAGCCAACAGTTGATAGCTTGAGATTGAGGAGATAATAAATCATACATTCGAAATAGATATTCCTGTTTATAACTCAGAAGTCCTATATTTCTTTTACATTCTGTGGGGAAGGAAAGAGGACAGATGACAGCACAGAGAAGTGACTGAGGAGGTACATCAACCATTGAGACTCCTGTTTCCCAATTGGGGAAATGTTTGCTGTTAGGCAAATACAGGTTAGGCAAATGCAGAAGTGTGTTGGGGGCTATCTGAAGCTATAGGATAACATTAATTCACTGTATATTTGTTAACTGCCTTCTCGGTGCTGCTTTACGTGCTGAGGACATAGTAATGAGCAAGATAGGCAAGAGACTGCGCCCTCACAGCTTACATTATTGGGGAAGGGAAAGGGGCATATTTAATATGCCTAAAGTTTAAGGAGGAAGAGCCTTGTTGAATATAATTGCAAGCACATTTGTGTGAGATATGGCAGGAGACGTAAGAGAAAGTTGGGGCTCACGCCAGGCTTCACTCCCAGACCTTTTCGAGTGTGCCTGCTCTCGTCTCTGCACACATTGTCTGTTCCTCTGCAGACCAGAAGCTCTCCCAAGTCAGGAACATAACCCTGTGCCGTGGAAGTCCTGCCCTTCTAACCTGGGTAGCTACCATTGACTGAGGGTTTATTGTGATCCAGAAACATGACTTAAGTTATACCTATCCTCCGTTTTACTTACAAGGAAACTGAAGCTTCAGTGAGAAGTTGATTGACCAGTGTGAATGGCAGACCTGGGACTCAGATCTGGGTCTACCTGACACCTGTCTGGACACTTACTTTGTTTCTCAGAAACAGTGAGCAGTGGGGCTGTAGGTAACAGGATTTTGTCCCATTTCTTTTTGCAGCAGATCCCACCAGGGAGAGTGAGATGCAGTAGCCCAAAGGGTGCAATTGCAAGATCACCTGTATCAGGACCAGCTAGAGCAATGCCATTTCCAAACCTGAGCCTTTACAGATTAATGTTTCAGTGTAAGGAGGTGGAGACTTGACGTTTATACGGCACCGGCCATGTGCCATGCACTGCACTGGGAGCTTTAACCTAGTGTATCCTCCTGCAACAGCCCGACCAGGAGGGTTCAGCCTTAGGAGGAAGGGAGCATAATTTAAGAAGTTAGGATTTAGGAGCCAGACTGACTGCCTTAGGATAATAACAGTGCCTCCTAATAAGGCTTTTGTGAGGGTTAAATGAGATAATAATGCATGTCAAGTGCTTCAAACAACATCTGGCACATAGTTATGTAAGTACTCATTATTATCATCATCATCATCATCACCATTTTATAGATGAGGTTCAAAGGGGTATGTGGTTAGTCCCTCTGTAACTACTAAGTAGAGGAACTGGGTTTACTAATTCCAGAGCTAGACCCCTTTCCTCCACTCCTTACTGCCTGCTGAAGGCTTGT